AAAAATTGAATTGTCAAGTTGTAATGTCAAGAGATCCCCTGAAAATGTCGATGCTCGATATGTTAATGATGTCTTCGGGTAGGGAGTTCCACTCCCTAATCGTTCTTGGAAAGAAGGAGTATTTGTGGTAGTCCGTTCTTGAGGACATATTCTTTAAGGCTTTGCTGTTGGTATGCCTACTCCTCCATTGCTTTGGTTCAAGTGTAGGTAGGCCATCATTTGCAATGAGGCCATGGATAATTTTGTACATCATCACGAGTCGATTTACCTTCCGTCTATGTTCAAGTGAATTCCATTTTAGGCTTTGAATCATTTCCGTAACACTGGATGTTCTCCGATAGTCCCTGCATACAAAACGTGCAGCACGTCGTTGGATCTTCTCAAGTTTGTCGATGTTTGACTTTGTATATGGGTCCCAGACCGATGCAGCGAACTCGAGTATAGGTCTAACCAGACCAAAATAAGCTTGGGTCTTTATCTGACGCGAATTAACACGTAGATTACGTCTGAGAAAGGCAAGGGTATTGTTTGCTTTCGTGGTTATGTTATTAATATGTGTATTCCAACATAAATTGGCAGAGATGGTTACACCTAGATACTTTGAGCTATCAACGGATCGTAGGGTTTGGCCATGTAGGATGTAATCTCGTTTGACAGGTAGGCGTTTACGTCCAGCATGGATGACTTCGCATTTTTCCGCGTTAAATTCCATATCCCACAGTTTTTCCCATTCGGCTAGCTTATCGAGATCACTTTGTAAAGCATCGGGGTCATGATCAGATTTGATAGCAAGATATGCAATAGTATCGTCAGCAAATATTTCTTAGTAACTATTTGGATTTCATTTCATGGACATAGTGTAAGCACTCCACCTTCTTTCTAAATAACAATTCTGGTTTTCAACACTCAAACATGCTGTTTTTTTTAGCTTGGGTTTGACTTGTCACTGGGCCCTGGTCAAAGAGGACTTCTTGTCTGTTGCCACATCCCCAATACATCGTACGCTTTTCTAGTGTCTCGTAAATCTGTAATTCTGTTTTTACTGTAGGGCAACAAATTCCAAATATTGAAAGAATCCTTTAGGAGGAGCCTACGCCCTACGGGTTCCTGGGAGAAATATATCTGCCAGGRGGAGTCGACCAGGTCTGTTCTTCTAAATAACTGTTCTTGTACGGATTTTCTTCTGGGAAAGTGATTTAGAAGTCGAATTTGAAATTGGGAAAAA